TTGTAGAAGGCGGTGACAAGGGTTCAAGCCCTTGTTCTGTAGCCTAATGACCAAATGACTTGCAATTGGCTCGGATCCTCTCAGCCTTCAGCTACAAAGCAAAATAAAGAAAATGCCTATTTTTGCAAAACTGCAGTGAAGACTAAATGAGACGGTTCATTTTAAAAGTGTTTTATAAACTGTGACAGTAAATAAATGTTAATTGTGGTTTTTATTGCATGCAGTTGCTTTCTCTTATGTGCGTTTGAAATTAAAGAGCAGAAAAAATTGCTAAAAATCCTCTTTGCCTACACAGAACGTTCTGACGTGGTTGACTGGTTTGGCTAGTGAGGAGACAGCATCAAAGAGCTCACCCCAAGGAAAGGATATAAAGCTAAAGCGGTAGGGCCGCCTTTGCCTATAGACACATACCATGGGCCTGCTTTCTAGAAGGATGCGGCAGTCCTGTGACTGTAAACAACTATTCTTCCCCTCCGACAGAATCTGTTTTCCCTTTAAAGTGAGCTATCACTGGCTAACTATCTTACCATGAATTATCTCAGTCATTCACAAGTCAGGCCTCGAAAGATTTGAAGGGCCACGAGGGGTGCGTCCACTCACGGAGACGGTGGGACTGATCGAATGGGAGCTCACCAAGGCCAGCTGGACTGGGACAAAAAAAGAGCATGTGATCAAACCGGACTCTCTGAAAGTGGCTGACAGTGAGGGCGGACTGAGAAGCCAATGATATGACACCGGGTTTTGATTCTTTTGCATGTACTGGCTTTTTGGGAGCTTAGTCTGTTTGGATGCACACCTTCCTAGACCCGGATGGAGTGGGGAAGGTCTTGGACTTCTCACAGGGCAGGGTACCCTAACTTCTCTTAGTACTGGAGAGGGAGGGGGTGGGAAGTGGGGGGGAGTTGGGGGGAAATGAGAGGATGGAAGGAGGTGGAAATTTTTAATAAATAAATAAATATTTAAAAAAAGAATCTCAGTGGATAATGGCCCCTAGTATACTGTGCTTTCTGAGCAAACCCAAGGAGAGCAGGCTTATCACTGGGTTGGTCTCCAAGAAAGTCAGCTGCGGTCTGCACAGCACTGCTAAACTCATTTTCTGTCCTTAGTTTCCCTGAATTTTAGTAATATTTTTGAGTCTTGCATACTTCTAAAAGTTTTTTGAATGAAGCTATATTTACTTATAATTTGTGTGAGATATAGGCAACAATTTCAACTTTTAAATAAATACAGAGACTTGTAGTTCCCCTAGTAAGGAGACACATACTTTTAAAAGACTTTCTATGCAATATCATTGAAATGGGAAGGAAAAAAAAAAAACCCTGAGGTTTCCACGGCAGAGTGGTGACCCCAAAGCTCACAGGGAGAAACACAGGGGGTGTTTCTTTGTTGAATTAAGTGTGACTTTGTTGGAGGAAGTGTGTCACTGAGGGTGGACTTTGAGGTCTGAGATGCTCAAGCCTGGCCACTGTGTCACTCTTCCTGCTGCCTGTAGATTCAGTTGTAGAACCCTCAGCTCCTTCTCTAGCACAAAGTCTGCCTGCATGCAGCCATGCTTCCTATGTTGATAATTGACTAAACCTCTGAACTATAAGCCAGCCACAGCCAAATGTTTTATTTTATAAGTATATCACCAGATGGTAGTGGTACATACCTTTAATCCCAGCACTCGGAAGGCATAGACAGGCAGATCTCTGTGAGCTCGAGGCCAGCCTGCTCCACAAGAGCTAGTTCCAGGATAGGCTCCAAAGCTACAGTGAAACCCTGTCTCTAAAAATAAAAAAAAAGCAAGGGAGGGAGGGAGCGAGGGAGGAAGGAAGGAAGGAAGGAAGGAAGGAAGGAAGGAAGGAAGGAAGGAAGGAAGGAAGGAAGGAAGGAAGTTCAGTAGGAATTGTATGACTACCAGTCCTGACAATGTTTTGAAAATGTGTGTGTGTGTGTGTGTGTGTCTGTGTGTGTGTGTGTGTGCGATTCAGAAAGAATGTAGTTCTGATGCAACAAAGTAATTAAAATCCTCTAGGTAGAGAGACTTGTTTCAAAGCCAACACTTACTTTCATTACCTGTTCAGCATTAAAGAAACACCTCACTTTCCCCATCTGCAAACTGGAGACAACTGCCTGTCCTTACACACCTACTGTGAAGCTTATATACAATAGTGGATACAAAAGATGGTGAAACACACATGGGTTTCTACAGACTTTAGGAACCAGCATGATTGGCTTGTATTGCTACAAAATGGGAAAGAGGTGAATCGCTGAGTGCAAAGCCTCACAAAATGGAAGCAAAAATATCTTGTAGAATAGCTACTTAGCTTCTGCAGCCATGTGAAGAGAAGGATAAAAAATATCTCTACCATATCTCAAAGTCTGAAAACCATATTTCAAATTGACAGGCTCAATCATGCACTCCTCCGACTATTCAGGATGGAACAAAAGCAGAATTTTAAACACAAGCTTAAGGCAGGAAACACGCCAACCACATTCTTTTTGTCTTTGAAAACTGTGAATAGTCCCATGTGTTGATAATTATGGAAATCTCATAGATCTCATTGTGTCAGATCAGAATGTCTGAAGGTTAGCCTATGTGGTTTCCAATGTTATCAGAATCAACAACCTCTCTCTGGTGTCCTGAAATGACCACAGGAACCGAGGAGTCTATGGAGCATTTTCTTTGATGAATTGGATTTTATTAAGACAGTTCACACACTTATGAATAAAACTGCCCCAAACCGGCTTCCGAGAATGAATGCCAAGAGCCCACCTGTAAGATAATCTTTGCAAGGCAGTCTGCAAGGAATAGAGACATGAACAGTATTTTCGTGTTCTGAGAAGACCTCTCACTCTGAATCTAAGACCTCAGCAATCCTCCGGAAGACTAGATCTACAATTTTCAGAGGTCTTAAGGTGAACCTGAAGAAAATCATGTAGTTATCCTCCTGGAGATAGGAAATAGACAAGAGTCCCAGAACCTTCATCTGGAGATGGATAGAGATAGAGACAGAGACCCACATTGGAACACTGGACTTAACTACCTAGGTCCAAACGAGAAGCAGAAAAAAAGAGAACATGAGCAAAGAAGGCAAGACCAGAGGGAACCTTCATCCAACGATGGATGGCGATACAGACGGAGACCCACATTGGAGCACCGGACTGAGCCCCCCAAGGTCCAAATGAGGAGCAGAAGGAGGAAGAACATGAAAAAGGAAATCAGGACTGTGAGGGATGCGATCACCCACTGATACAAGGGGACTGATCTAATGAGAGTTCACCAAGGCCAGTTGGACTGGGACTGAATGAGCACGTGATCCAACCAGATTCTCTGAATGTGGCCGGATTCTCTGAATGTGGCTGGCCCGGAGTCTTTCTGAAAAGCCATTGACAATGACACTGGGACTTGTTTCCTCTGCATATACTGGATTTTTTGGGATCCAGTCTGTTTGAATACTCACCTTCCTGGACCTGGAGGGAGGGGGGAGGAACTTGAACTACCCACAGGGCAGGAAACCCTGACTGCTCTTAGGGATGGAGAGGGAGGAGGAGAGGGAGTGGGGGGAGTGGGACGGTGTTGGGAGGGGGGCGGAAATGGAAACTTTTATAATTTAATAAACTTTGAAAAAAATGGACCTTTTATCAATTGTCTTGATAGCCTATTGGGTTCATGAGAACATGTTAAGTACCATGGTTCATCTAATACAGTTCCCCCGAGATGTACTCAGGGTGTGGTAAGAACTTGCCCTGCCTTTCTCTTATCCATTCACTATCTTAAGTTAATTTTGTCACCAAATAAGTTTTGAACTTCTCTGTTTCCTATTGTCATTTCATTGTCTCGTTTGGAATGAGACATAATTTGTAAGAGTGCAAGAACAAAACCCAATTTCACATTCCAGTCCCATCCTCCAGTCTTGCTTTAGGATCCATTTGACCTACAAAACTTGTAATTTCTTGCTCCTTGCTCAAAATCCTCCTTACAGTGATTGGGATAGAGAGCGAATTGCCTAGATAGCAGCTGAGACCATCATCTGCCACACCTCATCCGCATTCTTCCTTCACGATTCATTTTATAATTAACGCTGGTGTGTAGCATGAGGCCTGGCTGGCTTGTTGGGATTTCTTTCCCACCCGGTACCCCACAGCCGGAACTTCCAAGGAAAATCACACACAGGACTCTATAAGGTTATAAACTGATTGGCCCATTAGGTCAGGCTACTTATTAGCTCTTATAACTTATATTACCCCATTATCCTTATCGACGTTAGCACATGGCTCAGTACCTTTTCCAGCGGGGCAGTTTACATATTTCCCCTCCGGTGGTCTGGGCAGGAATGGCTGAGGGAGCTTCCTGTTTTCCCAGAATACTCCCAGTCTCTTTGCTCCACCCCTACTTCCTGTCTGGCTTTCCCGCCTATACTGCCTGCCTGGCCAATCAGCGTTTTATTAAAATATGATTGACAGAATACAGACAATTCTCCCACATCACTGGTGTGACAGATTATGGCCTCAGCTTTTACTGGCTTTTTGGACCCATTTTCTTTGGTGGGATACCTTGCTCAGCCTAGATATAGTAAGGAGAGCCTTGGTCCTGCCTCAAATCAATGTGCCTTATGCTCTCTGAGGAGTTCATAGGGGTAGGGAGTAAGGGAAATTGGAGAGGATGGGAGGAGGGGAGGGAGTGGGAACTGGGATCGATATGTAAAATGAAAAAAAGAGATTTTTTTAATAAAATAAAAAAGGATGAAAAAGAAAATAATACTGGTGTTTCCCATATAGGCAGTGCCCACCTCTTGTATGTCACAGTGCGTGTGATTCCCCGTTTGAGATGTCTGTGCAGAAGCTCCTACTCACTTAGCCTTCCAATTCCTCTTCACATTTTATCTCTTTCCTCGTCTGTTATTTCTCACTGCTCAAAGTGGACATCCAGATCTACCCATGTGAGCTGCTTATCTGTAATGTTTTCCTACTCTGGAGCATAGCTAGGCTGTGAAGTCCTAATAATAGAGCCGGTGCATTTTCTTTGTACATCTACAGTTGGTGGCCTAAAGGAACTCAAAGAAAACAGAACACAAGAAGGAAGCTAAGCGGGGAGAGCCATGGAAGGGGACTAGGAGAACACAAGAAGGAAGGTAAGTGGGAGAGCCAGGGAAGGGAACTGTGGAGCTTCAGGCAAGATCAGCAGATCATTCTTTACAATGACAGTTTCTTGAACCCTAAATGCTCATGGTCTTGGGCTATCAGTTCATTGACCTTTAAGGGTTTAACCAGTGAAACTTCTAAGATCTCATACATTGGTTTGGATCTTTTGAGAAGAGCAGTTTTTAAAGAGAAGGGACATTAAAAAGAGTAGGCCTTGCTGAAAGGTCCCTTAAAATGTCAAACTGATTGACTAAACCTAAGTAAGTACAATTTAACAAGTTTAATAGCATATAATTTGGTAATCTAATGATCTTTTTTGTTAATTATTCAGCCTATCCTTATTGTTTTAAGAGGAGAATTTGAAAACGACGACATGATAATTTCATGTCTTCACAACCTTAGGTTGTGAGCTAACCATTTTATTGAAAAACTAGCCTGTTTTATAAAGGTAGATTGCCAGTAGAAATAGGTTCCTTCCATTTTACAATATTTCTCTTGGTGTTAGGATCTAACTTGGTGAGGACATGCTGTACTTCTTAGTAATTCTCCTTCCTAAATTTCTGCATACTATAAAAAATAATCCTAAATTTCTTTACCAACCTTGAATTGTAAATTAAAGTCACCTCTCCAAACTTTAAAAATTTAACTTTTGATGCTTTTAGGTATACAGTAAGGGAATATTGCAATGATTTAAACTATATCTCTAAAGATTTAAATATTCAGCTCAAGTCTAAAAATATGGTCCCCAGTCTTAACAAGTTTACAGTCTAGAAGGAGAGATGAGGCACACACATAAATCATGAAAATGGAAGAAAAAGGTAGGACTCATATTATAATAGAGATATAAATAAATATGGTATAGGATCACAGAGAGACAGTGATTAATTCTACCTGAAAAGATCATAATATGCATAAAAATTTATGTGCAAGAAGACTATGATGCATTCTCCAAAATCTCATGACTTAATTTAGATGTCAAAACAACAACCTCTATGTCCAAGATTCAGCCTGAGATATTTCCTTCATAAATTTGGTTTGGGTAGAAGGTGGTATTTTGTGTGGTTAAAAATGGATGCAGATGGCTCAATACATCATTCTCCCTTCTCCTTCTGGGAAAGGCTCAGATATGCACAGGGCCTCAGGTTATGTAAGGGGAGAAGGGAAGGGATGTATTTGCCTTCGGGGAAGTGAGAAGAGGGAAAGAGGAGGGTGTAAATAGTTCATATACAGCCTGACCTGTGAGCTGATTTTAATATATAGTTTTTTCTTTTAGTAGAAAGAGAATCAGACTCCCAAAACTTGTTTCCCCTGAAGCATGTTTTTGCAACCTGGGTAAATAGTAACTGGGAAAAAATAGGGAAAATCCAATAAAATCTTTTGAGAATAACAGAATGGAAGTAGAGATGCATCAACTGTGTGATGGTTGATCTATATTCTCAACTTGCCTGGATTTGGAAACTCTAGGAAGACACATCTCTGTGAGGGGCATCTCTGTGAGGGTATTTACAGTGGGATGTTACTGGGGAGGGAAGACCAGCCCTGAAGGCTAGCAGCACTCTCTCAGGGACCCCGTTCTCAGATTAAATAAAATAGAAAAAGGAAAAAGGGAATCTCTCCTCTCTCTCTCTCTCTCTCTCTCTCTCTCTCTCTCTCTCTTTCTCTCTCTACCTCTCCCTCTCCCTCTCCCTCTCTCTCTCTCTTTCTCTCTCTCCCTGCCCTCTCTCTCTCTTCTCTCCTCCCTTCTCTCTTCTGTTTCCTGACTGCAGCTGCCATTCAATCAGCAGACATACACTCCTACCGCCTTCCATTCACCTACCATAGTAACCTCCAAACAAAACCTTCATTTTTGTTTGAGGCAGAGTCTTACTGCATAAGCTGGGCTCAGACTCAGAGATGCACCTGCCTCTGCCTCCCAACTGCTGGAATTAAAAGTGCGAACCACAATCACTGCCTTGACTTTCTGTTTTAAAGTTGCCTTTTGTTGGGTGTTTGTTACCACTGCCACAGCAGTAAAGGTACTAATACAAACACTGACAACATTATTATATTAAAAAAGACAAAGGCAGGGGTGGAAGCCAATGAAGTTCTACTCTACACTCATCTATCTAGAATACAGATGGGGAAGTCACACTTCTCTGGAACTTTGCAAGCTGTAAGCACACCTTAAGCACAGAAATGTGTGTCTTTCAAAAGGAAATGGAAGTAAGAGCAGCTCTGCCCTGGGATGAGCAGGTAGGAACTCATTCATAAGGTCCAGTTGATTAAATGATGACAGTTCCCTGACAACACCTGCACTGAAGAATGCTGGGAAATTATGCTAGTACTCTGGAAACTTCTATGTGTGATGCCTAGGTTGGATTATTCAAGCCCTGCGTTATAAACATGCAAGCAAGGTGTGACTCTGGCCTGACTTCAGAGTCAGGCATGCCTCGTTCAATTCCATTTTCTCACACTAATGATGTGAAAGAGAGATCTCTGCTAATTCAAGTTTTCTGAGCCTCCATTCTTACAGCCATAAAATGGGAACCTGGTAGCTACTTTGAAGAAGTATCACTACACCTAAACAAGACATACATCTGGGTGATACAGATGTGATTCCGGATTGGAATTCATTTCTGCTTTGCTACTTCTGTCATAATCTTTTGAGTGAACATGATCATAACTGTTAATGATCTTTTAGAAAACTGCATTTTACTCTAGCTTACATTTTTAACAAAAAAATTATATCTGAAGATTGGGGTTTAAATTATCTCATTTTAAGTCTTTTATTTTACAAATTAAGAAAATGTGGCCCAGAAAAGGTCAAGGTCCCCCAAAAGTCACTTCGGTAATTGGTGAAGATGCAGCATGGGAACCCGTTGTTCTTAGTTCTATGCACAGGTCTGTGTCTCTTGTTCTAAAAGATAAATCAGTGTTTAATGTATCTTTCACACTCAGAAACCAGGAAATTTTGTGAAGAAAATAAACTCAGAACCCCATGTGGTTCAAACACAAAGTCACATTCAAGGCAGCTCAGCCCAGCAAGTCAAAGTACATGAAGTGAAACCGTAGGCTTCCCTGACATAGTAAATAAAATTTAAATGACTTAATTTATAATCCACAGCACGTTATAAAAAATTCTTTTATTTCTCTTCCATACTCGTGCCTTCCCACCCTCTTGCATTGCCTCATCTGCAAACCAGAGAGTCTACTAAAGCTACTAAGCCAATTCTCCAGCATTCTGTCCTCTGTGCTTTCCTGTACCCTCTCCCTTCCTACTGTCCCCTATTTTGCTGACCATCATTTTCAGAGAAGGAAGACACTAGGCAGCGGCCTTCAACCCACACCCTCCCACCTCCATCCAGCAGCTCTGGTGTTTAGAGATGCCCTGCACTACCTGTTCTCCTGAGCACCCTCTTCACTCTCGTTCCCCACTGAGTGTCAGTCATTTCTCATGAGACACACGTGGGAGCGCTTTCTGGTGAATTCTTCATCTCATTACAATTTCAAATCACAACAGTTATGTAAAAGTACAAGTTTCACCTTATGCTGTTAAAAAAGAATATCACCCCATATTTAGTAACTAGAAAACTAAGCATTTTGTGCCATCTTTGAGACTCTCAATGGAGTATAATTACCCACAAATCATTCTTGAAAGAAAATCGCTGAAAGGGTAGTCCTTTTTATTTGAATTTCCTTCTTTGGAAGGAATCCACAGGACCAGTTGAGGAGAAAGTCAGCCATCTCAGCAAATCAATCAAACTGAAATCGAGTTCAGCACCACGGGAGTTCCACCATCTTTACATCTTGGCCTTTATATTATCTGAAGTACTTCAAAAAGAATGCAGGCAAGCCATGCTTTATGTATATCAGGATCAAAAAGAGTAATGCTAATTTAAAATAGGGCGGTTATGTGATCTAGACTATTATAATCAGATACACGTAAAATGATCTGAGGAAGTTTTTCCTCTTTTAGTAGACAGATATTTGACATAGCCTTGTTCTAATGCCAGGCAGCAAGAGACTAAGACAGCTTGAAGCAGCTGCAGAATTTAGCTAGGTTTTTTGGAAGGGCTTTTTATTTGGGTATAGATAGTCATGCCTTCTATTGAGTCTGTAATTTTAGTTTCTGGTGAGAGCATCACTGTGCACCTTTATTTCCACTCTAGACCATAACTCCTTTCTTGCAAGCTCTCAGCCTTACTATGTGAGTAAGGTGACCGGTCTCATGTCAACATCTCCCACGTCCTACTCATCAAAGGATGAGAGATATTGGATGAGAAACTTAAGAAGGAGATTAGAAATATCAACCTTACGACTTTGTAAACAATAGAATGCACTACTTCTCCTTAGGAATGCTTAAGCACTGTGCTCTTTGTCTCAAGTGAATAAAAGCACTACCTGAGAGCGATGAATCAGATATGCTGCTACCCGGGTCTTATAACTGTTAGCTTTCCAGCAAGTTCAATGAAAATTAAAGCAATCCTCTTAGAAGAGCAGTGGTTTGAAAATTCAATTCCCTGCAAATATTTTCAACTCTCTAAAGTATTTACATCAACTTTTATGCTCACAAGGGCTTCAGATCACTGAGAGGATTGAGACTCATACCTGCTGCAGCTGTTACCTTCCAAACAAGCTTTCCATTCAGGGGTGCTTGCTGTTACTAAGCAAGCCTACCTGGACTCCAAGTTGAAGAAAGAAACTTATCCCTGCTTATTTTATAAACCCTGAAGGGAGATAAAAACAGTAAGGAAACCAGAAGAGCTCTGAAAGGAAAAGGAGTAGTGGAGAGTGGAAGGAATGGTAGGCCTTCTGACCCACTAATGGGCTTCTGAAGGAAGACGGCAAGGAGATTAATTTCTAAAGGAAAGGAAAGTGGAGCCCGGCGTTGTTAACTTGTTGAACACTCATTGTGGAGTAATAGGAGCTATTTTCTCAGTAAATGTTGCCAGCAGTCAAGAGCACTAATATATTTTCAACCATTTCCCATGAACAGTTTGCAATTATTCAA